GAAGGAGTGATATTCATTTCACAAAACTTGTTTTATGGTGAAACAATTTTTTTCAGTACTTCATTAGCTGCTGAGGACAGTTGTGTTTCTCCTTGTGAGGTCTTGATGTCTCTCTGTCATAGCAACAGTGGTGCTGTTGTTGGTTTGGTTGAGCCACCTGGACTTCGCAAAGTTATGAGATTATACTCAAGTTTAGAGAGCTTAGGTGGCCATGGCACAGCCGGGGGATATTTTAGGCAGTGCAGACAGCCCAGGGTCTGTAAAAGGAACTTGGCAGCCGTTATCTGGTATGTGGGCTATAAATTGCACATTCCTCCATTGCATTTTAGAGAGTATTGTACACATTTCTTAACTAGCAATTAGGCTATATTCTTACCCATGTTTTCTTAATTCAAAATCTACTCCTGGGGTGAATGTATGGCTACACTTTGATTTGTTGATGGTTGGAGCAAGTTCATCAGATCTGTTAGGTACTTTTTAAATCTGTTCCTGCTCCTGCCAGTCCTCTCTTCCTGGCTCTTGAGCAACCCATAGTCACGCTGGTTGGAAATTAAGAAAAATGAAGTAAGTTTTGCACATTTGTAGGACTTATGTGTGGGAAAGTTCTTTATAGTTTTGTTTGATAGCCCATAAGGTTGTCAAGCTGAAGAGAGGTAAGATCATTTTCTATGCAATTTTCCTGGTTATCTTTTGGTTTTAAATTCCTGGGCAGTTTTATTCATGTGGTTTTATTTTTGTTTTATAACCAGTTTTTAATTATTGTCAAGCTGCCATAGTGATCTCAGAGAATCAAAAAGCAATATTGTGGGGTGGGAATGCAAAGGAGAAGAACCACCATAACAGAGAACTTCCCATTCCCAATCACTGAAGCTGGTCCAAAAGTAGCATGGTCAATGCTATCGAAAGCTGCTGAGAGGTCCAGGAAGGCCATAATGGTTGCACCATCTCTGCTCTGAGCCTTCCAAAGGTTATCAAGAAGTGTGGCCAGTGCTGTCTCAGTGTTGTACCCCAGCCTGAACCTAGACTGAAAAGAATCCAAATAATCTGCTTCATACAAGGGCCTTTGTAGCTGTGCATCAGGAATCCTCTCAACAGCCTTCTTTTAAAAGGGAACATTGGAAACTGAGCAAAAGTTGCCCAATACTATTGGATACAAAGATCGCCCCTTGAGAAGGGCCTCACCACCACCTCCTTTGGGGAGGGTGGTATCATCCTCTCCTGCAAAGAGTCACTAACCATCACTTGTGCCCAATCACATTCCACCTGATTTGAAAGTGGATTTAAAAATAACAGACTACAAGAATGACATGGGGAAAATGCTATACTGGATATAGAAATAAAACATCCTGATGTCTTAATAATTAAAAGAAATAATAAAGTAAAAGTGTTACCTGGGCAGCTTTCCTAAACTAAATTTACAAAAGACTCTTGCTAAAATTTTGAAGGATTTTATGGGAAAGGACAATGAAAATGAAAAGAAATCTATTTCTAGGACACTATTTGATGGAAATAAAAATCAAAATTGTTAAAAGTAGTTAGTATAAAGTTGGTTTATTTGACCAAGGTTAAAATAGATAGATTTTATAGAAGTCCTAAATAAACTTTTGCCAACCCCCACATCCAATGACAAGATTTTAAAAATTTGTTTATGGGTAAGATATAGGAAGAAGAGATAATTTGTTGTATTTTAGGAGAAGGTGATATGTTACTAAAATATTTATATTCATTGCTAAGAAAGGGTAAAGTCATTTCTTTATATATTTCTTTTCTTTCTCTTTGCTATATTATTTTCCCTCCTATTTTCCCCTTACTGTGCTTTCTATTATTCTTTTATTTATTTTTACTTTGTATTAGTTCTTTCTTTTAATTGTAGTGTTTAGTAAAATTGTTGTAATGTAGCTGTAAAAATGTTGTAATATAGCTGTACCCTTTCCTAAGAAACAATCTGGCAGGTAATCCCAGGAAAAGACATGCCTTCAAGATGCTGCAGACAAGTACCATGTTGATAATCCTGTTTGCAATCTTTTTACAACTATCAGTAGGAAACTGAAATTGAAATGCTACATGCAACTATCCTTAATAAACTATTAACTATATATAAAAGTGCTTATGAAGAGCTATAGCAGAAGACACTGTCTTGGTAAAAAGTTACGTAGTGCAGCATAAAGCAGAACATTGGATTCAGACCAAAATTCATTCTTCATTTCTTTTATAAATATGGAGTTATGGGCTGATGTTTGATCTACCCATGCAAAACAATGACATAATTTGGAGACTTACCTACACCAGTCAAAATCTTGCAGATAGATAAAAAGCTCACCTCTGAGTAGAAAAATGACTGAACAGGGAGCAAGCAAGCTTGAACTAGGCAGGAAGAGAGAGGCAGAGGCAATTCTTGCTTGCAATGGCTTCAGAAACATTCAAATGTGGAAATTGTCCATGTGCCCTGAAATGTATTATCTGTCATAATAAGGATAGCCATAACCCAACAGAGCAGCTTTCTGGCAATCAGTTAAGAGCCATGAGGGTAGGAAAAAGAGCAGCTAAGATCACAATTGTTGCTGATTAAGTATTAATCTGATATTAACTTCAGGAACAATGACTAAATAAGTTGCACCTTGAAGAATTAATTCAGGCCAGTCCTTTCCTATGATCTAGACCAGCAGTCCTCAACTTTTTCTTCACCACGGACCCTCTTTAAATATCTTTCATGACCATGGATCATGGCCACAGAGACCGAAGACTTAACTAAAGATTTAAATCATAACATTTGTTTCAATCGTTTACAGAATCCCTGTGATGACATTATGCCTCTCCCCCCCCCCCCCAGTGGTTTGTAGACCACAGGTTGAGAACCACTGGTCTAGACTAATACTGTATAAATAAGTTAACAAAGCATAACAAAATAATGAAATAATAAGTAGGCATACTAATGCAAGAAAAGCAAATATGTCAAGAAACAGGTTTATGCCTACAAAGAATACTGAAAGAAAAGAACAGGATGTTCTGAAAGTGGTGTTTGGAAAAAAGAGAACTGACCAAGATGTAGGTAGTGCTTTTCCTGTGCATTTAAAGAGGATGTTGTCTGGGACCTACCTGGAAGGAGTAAAGGGGACAAGTAAAACCAGACATGAAAGATTTAAAGATGTCAGAACCAGACCTAACTTTTGAGAGGGCACAGTACTCTGATACTTTGAAGAGCAGGTTCTGGAAATGCTTTATGAAGGTGCTTTTCTCATATAGCAGGAATATTTTCCCTCAGGTTCATAAAAATCCTTTCACTGTGAACATTCATGCCCAGTACTAGCAAAGGAAGGCAAACATTTTAAAACTTTTTCTTGAAACATTTTTTTCTATGCATCTTTATTTATTTTAATAAGAACAATCTTCACGTATTCAGCTACACCATATAGCAGCTACAGATCCCACTCTCATTGTTTAAAATTGTATTGTTTAATTTGTCTCGATAGTAGAATATTTAGTACAATTCAGGTGTCATTAAACTTATATGAGTCCTCCAATATTCTAGGTCTAGGTCAGTGGTGGCGAACCTGTGGCACATATGCCAGAGATGGCACGCAGAGCCCTCTCTGTGGGCACACATGGCATCGCCCTAGCTCTGTTTCAGGTCTCTGCCATGCCTGTACACGCGCCTCTCACCAGCCAGCTGGTCTTTGGGTCTCTGCCATGCATGTGCAGGGCACATGCGTGCATGCGCCCAAGCTTTGAAGTTGGGTGGGGCGTGCACTTTGGGCACTTGGTGCCTAAAAAGGTTAGCCATCACTGTTCTAGGTTGTCAAAAATGGGGGGAAAAGTGGGATGTGAAGAAAATTCAGATACATAGCCAATTAGCCTGAATAATCAACTGCAAGTAGGGATCTAGACTGAAATTGGGCTTTGATCCTAGTTTTAGCAATAGTGTGCAACTTTATTCAACATTTTAAGTTTAGTTTTTCTAATAGCTACTTCCTATCCTCTGAGAGTTTGGCCATGGTTAGTGGTTCATTAAAGATGTCATCTTCATAGATGATGCTAAAAAATCAATTTTAAAGAGAATACTAGGATTACAGTGGCTGCTATCAATGCTTTTATACAAATCTACAATGAAATATGCACAGTTCTGTTGAGCCTCATAAACATATTAGACATATTTCTGTCTTATGGCTACTATTTAGGATTTAGTTAGAAGAAGAAATATAATACAAGAAACAGGCACTGAAGGCATTAGAGGTTTGCATCATGTTCAGAGAACACTGCCTTTAGGACAATGCGTATAGTATTTTTAAAGAATTTGATGACTCAGTGTTATTTTGGTGTTTGACTATAGGTAGACTGCAAAATGTGAATTAATGGCTTTTCATCCTCATACTTCATAACCTCAATAAGAGACATGTCTACTGTGTGTTAATTCATACCCTGGATGACTGTGCCAGAAGTATCTGTTGCCCCTTACATTCCAATTCCAGAAACAGATGGGCTCCTCAAGCAGCTCTGTATGCATACCTCTGTTTTCCAGTTCATCTTTTTCATTATCTTACCCAGTCCTGTCTTGCTTTTTGGACATATAAATACAAGTGCTGCCTTTGCCTGGTGCATCTTCCATAATTGGAGAGGCATTGCAATTGGTGATGGGGATTGATATGACTATTCCTGTGAACTGCAAGATCAGGAATCATGATCTCTCATGACAGAAGCGTCAACTTTGAATACATTGGAAGTGTCTTCATATAGGAGTTGTACTTGGGAAATGTATATTTTTAGTTGTACCAATAGAAGCAGAACTTTCTTTTGTCCACGTTCTTCCTAAAACATTATTGCCATTGGAGAAAAACTTGTGATCTTCCTTCACAATCAGATTGCCTTTTTCTATGCAGTCCATACATATCGTAATGTAAAGTTAATTGGAAAACTAGAAATTGAATTTTGTAAGCAACAATTTAACTGTGGCGCAAGGAAAGAACTGTTTACTGGTTCTTTACTGATCACTACTTTTTTCTTAGGTGCTGAGGAAGTCCTCTTGCTGGCTAGAAGAACAGATCTACGAAGAATTTCCCTGGACATGCCGGACTTCACAGATGTTATTCTGCAAATAGACAACATTAGGCATGCTATTGCAATTGACTATGACCCTGTTGAGGGCTACATATATTGGACAGATGATGATGTCAGAGCTATTCGCCGGGCATTTCTTGACGGATCTGGAGCCCAGACTCTAGTAACAACAGAGATAAATCATCCTGATGGCATTGCAGTAGATTGGGTGGGTAGGAATTTGTATTGGACTGATACTGGTACAGATCGGATTGAAGTTACACGATTGAATGGGACCTCGAGAAAGATCCTTATTTCAGAAAACTTAGATGAACCTAGAGCAATAGTGCTCAATCCTGTGATGGGGTAAGTCTTGCAAATATTTGTTCAGTCTTAAAACAATGGTAGTTGCTCTGCCTTTGCATTTCTATGCAATGGAACATGTTACAGGTTGTACTTGTAGAGCCGTGGGGGCGCAGTGGTTCGAATGCAGTATTACAGGCTAATTCTGCTTACTGTCAGCAGTTTGATTCTCACTGGCTCAAGATAAATTCAGCCTTCCATCCTTCCAAGGTCAGTAAAATGAGAAGCCAGATTGTTGGGGGCAATATGCTGACACTAAACGTCTTATAAAAGTCAGCATAGCACTGAAGCAGTATATAAGTCTAAGTACCATTGCTTAACTTAACAACCACAATTGAGATTGAAATTTCCATTGTAAATTGTTGCAGTCATAAGTCAGATCCAATTTTATAGCAATTTTTTTACAATGGTTGTTAAGCAAATCAGTGCAGTTGTTCAACAAATCATATGATTATTAAGCAAATCCAGCATCCCTAATGATCATTCTCTCCCCCCCCCCCCCCACGGAAATCATCCAAAAATGATCCAGAACCCAGTTGCCAAGAACCCAAATTGCAACCATGTAACTGTAGGGGTGGTGTGATGGTCGTAAGAGCGAGCATAGGTCATAAGTCACTTTTTCCAAGGCTATTGTGACTTAGAACCTTTGTTAAATGAACAGTTATAAGTCAAGAACCACTTGTACTTTAAAAATATTATGTTTCGCCATACCATGTTCTAGTGGCAGTGTAACAGACTATGTTTTCTTAAATGCATGTTCTTTATTAGTATTTAGTAAATTTGGAATACACAACCATCAGCCTATTTATTCTAGATAGCAAAGTCCGTGAATTTTAAGTAAAAAATTTCCTTCCCCTTTTAAAGTGTTTTTCCTTATAATATTATTATCCTTCTGTAGATCCCACAAACTTGAAATCTTTGAATGAATCTTTCTCTTTACTGCCAGTTCATGGAAAAGCATCTTGCTGAAAAGCACGCCTTAAAAATGCAATAATGTCTTTGATAGAATTCTTGTGCATCAGAATAACATTGCTGTTCTTCTCCTTCCACAAAAGTTATATGTATTGGACAGACTGGGGCGAAAACCCAAAGATTGAGTCTGCTTATCTTGATGGGTCTGAGAGGAAAGTGCTGGTGAATACTTCTCTAGGATGGCCTAATGGTTTGGCATTGGATCTTGAGGAAAGCAAACTTTATTGGGGAGATGCAAAAACTGACAAAATTGAGGTAAGTGAGATATTTCCAGAAAACTGCGGTTCAGTTCCAGAGAAAACATCTTGATTTGTTTTCCTGTTTTTTTGGAAACATTGCATTACTAGAGATCATTTCTGAAAGTTTGGGAGAAAAAAAGCTCCAACCCCAGCATAAGAATTTGTATTTCACTTTAAAAGGACCCAGCCTGTCCTGGCTCAACTGAGAACGAATGGTGCCTTTAGTCCAGGCAAATACAGAGCTGCACTGTCAGAGGCCAAGAAGTAGAGAAATGTTAGAGCTGGACTATTAAAATAAGTCAATTTATTGAAAGTTAGGTCTGGAATTCATTATCAAATGACAAACATGGAGAAAACTATTTAAAACAAATAATATTATTCTTCAGAATTCCCAGAAGAGGAATTGTATTGCAGCTTAATTCTGTGTGGGTAATTTATGCATCCCCCTGGAAGTATTTTGTGTTATGTTCAAGGCTTGTTGACTTTATACAATAAAAGTAACAAAATCAAGCAAATGATATGATGCAAGTCTTCAGGTTGGGACTGGTAATCTTGAGCATAAGATACTGAAAGGACATATTTCTTTGTGTTACTACAGTGTGACTTCTAAGGCAGAATACTTTTTAAAATGCACCAGAAACTTTAGGATGTGTTGACAGAATAAAAATCCAAATTCAAAGAAACCAGGCAAGATCTGTGGTGGGAATGCTGAAGTTGGCCATTTGCTCTGTGCTCTGACTTACCAACTATACTTCTTAAGCACTGTGTTATTTCCTTGGCAAAAATGTAGAAGAATCTATAATAGGTTGTATAATAATGTACTTCAATTAATTGCATGTTGCATTTTTAGCTGTCCGTTGTTTCAGAAAATCAACCTTTTTGTTCCCTCGAGGGGGAGAACCCTCTACCCAGCCCCGCTCCCAAGCAGGAAAATACTGCTAGATACATAGAAGTGCGTTCCTTAATTATGTGTGTAAAACTTCACATGGCAGAAACAGCAGTTATTCATTCTTGCCAGAAACGTTCCCATCTGCAGCATTCAGCTGTAGATACAAAGGCCTCAGTCACTTCACAAGCCGTTTATATCCTAAAGAAACCATTTGGCGAGCCTTGTCAAACGTTGCGTGACAACAGCCTTTGGGGCTTTCATTGCAAATTTGGCACCCTGTGGTAACATTGTTCCCAGCTCTTAAAAGTTTTTTTTTCCTAACTTGGTTTGGCAGCATGTTTGAAAGGTGGGAGAGAGAGGAGAGAGAGCAAAAAAATGTAGCAGATTTTAGAGAGATATATGGGGAAAGTATCTTGGATTCAGGAGGTGCAGCTGATTTGAAGGGAATGACGCAAAAAGTAAATTGAAAGAAAATTTAAGATCCCGCCAGAAAGCAGTACATTCCAAGAACAAATTAACGTGGCTTACAAGGTTCCAGCTGAAGGAAAAGCAGAGAGACTCTGACATCTTCCTGCAAAATTGCCTAATTCTCTTTCAAAACCAGTTTTGTGGGTTCTTGTCAACATTTGCTTAATGACTGTGTATAATTGTACAATTAAAAAATGTTGACCTATTTGTCTATTTTTAGAAGTGTTTCCCTAATTTAAATTGCTGTTAAACAACATAGTTAAAAGATAAAATGTAGCTATAGAATCACCACTTCTTCCCCCCCCTCCAAAGTTTTGTGATTATTTTTTTCAGAATACATTCAGAATTTGCACCCAGACATTCTCTAAAGTATTGTGCAGTGATAAAACAGTGTCTGTGAGACATAACAAGGGTCACTAGTGTCAGGCCCTTCACCTCTATCTGCAAACCCAACAAAACCCATTGATCCTTCTGACAACCTGATTCTTCCTACTTTTTCTCCCTATAGTTATTTGATGAATATTGAAGAAACAAAGTCTTTGTTGTATTTCAGAACAGGCTTTCAAAGTAATGACTTTTACGGGGAAATAGTTTTTATTCTAGGTAATTTCTGCATATGCTATTTAAAATGGTTTTAATCTCCAGCTCAGGTTTGAAGAATTTATTTCAACCTTGTAAAAGATAGAAGTGTCTTCTGGCATGGTTACTTTTACATATGTAAAATACAAAACAGTTCAGAATGTTAGAATGCATGTTAATATTTATTTCTCAAAATTTTATTATATTTTTTGTGTCTTATTACATTTTGGAAAACAAAACCTGATCAAAATCTTACTCAAAACTTGACAAATTCACCCTCCCATCTCTTGCCTTTAGTTCCCAAAACTAAATTTATTTGAGGCTGCAACAGTACTAGTAAGGAAAGTGACTGTGTGAGTGGCTTCTTTGATTTGATATTCTAAATACGCATTATATGGTATTTTTAACTTGTTGAAATATTTCTTTTGGATCTGTAAATAATTTGCTCTTTCCTTACATAAGTAAATCAACTCCTATTTCCTGAGCTTTTAAAAAGAATTGCTGAAAAAGTAGCTGTTTTACACTTAAAGTCAGTGGCATATTCTTTATCCTGCATTAAAATAAACTTTTTATTTTAAAAAAATGGGGCAGGGAGGAAGAGACGGTTGGGAGCCTTGAATAGGGTAACTGACCTTTGACCCATCAGGAGGCTATGTCAGAAGTAAAGCAGTTGCCTTCCCACAGTCAAAGGACAAATGGACGTTGATCATCCTGAATAGTACTGAGTAGCCTGACTTTCAGGGAACCAATTAAAGGACTGCTGTGGCTTGCAACAATACAGTTTCCACACAAGTCTGAAATTCTTCTGATTTTCTTCTTCTTCTGATTGAAATAGAATGTTGGCTTTTTGTCATTTCCTATACATTTGGACCATATTACATAGAAACATTACCATAAAAATATTTAGAACCGACCTTCCACTTATTGTGACTGACACTTTGGTAATGCATACATATATTTCACCAAAACCCTTTCCTTAGTGATTATTGTGCTGAATCTTTTGATCTTTCAACATGCTTTGGATTGAGCAGTTGGGGGGCGGGGGAGGAAGAGCAGTGGCATGGAACTGGAGAAGAACAGGAAGGAAAACTCACCCTGTGCCCATGGGAGTAAAAAATACGTTTTTTGTGCATAAAGATGGCGACCGGTGCAATTAGAACACATCTTATTTTTTTTATTATCTTGAAAAGTAAGCTTATTAAGAGGAAATATATTAAAATTTAAGGAATTACAGAGAGACCACTGCACAAAGACTGTTAACATGAATTCAAGATTTACAATCAGAGTATTGAAAAAAATTATCAGAACTAACTATAATCTGGTTATAGTTAATTTTGGGTGTCTCGGAAGACTACGAGAAGATAAATGTTGTTCTAATCCAGAAAAGAAGAATAGAGATCTGGGAAATTTTGAGTATCTTGGGGGAGATTATTGAACAATATATTTGTGATCAGTTAGTTAAGAATATCACACAAGAGCCAATATGGCTTTTATTATGAATAAGTCATGCTAGGTCAACCTTACCTCTATTTTTGACAGAATTACCATCTTAATAGATCAGGGAAATTCCACAGACATAATCTCAGCAATGAATTTGATAGTCTCCCATCATATGTAGATTAATAAAATTGTAAAATATGAGCTAGATTATACAGCATACTTCTGAATGCCTCAATATCAGTTTGGAGAACAGAGCTAAGTGGACTGCCACAGGGGGTTCTGTCTTGGCCCTTTGCTGTTCAAGATTCTTATTAATGGCCTGGACGGAAAGATTGAGGAGATAATACAAAACTAGGAGGCGTGGCTAATTCTTTAGAAGAGAAAGAGAATTTGGAGGAGGAAGAAAAAGCATCCCTTCGATAGCTCAGCTGGTAGAGCGGAGGACTGTAGAATTGCTTGTACTGAAATCCTTAGGTCGCTGGTTCGATTCCGGCTCGAAGGAGGCTTTTTATTCTCCCCTTTGTTATCATTTCTAAAGTTGCCATTCATCCTTTGAGAGAAGCAAATTATGATTCGTGCTTTAAGAGACAGTTTAGTCTAGAGTTTAAGGCACCGGGCTAGAAAGAGGGGGATCGATGAGTTCTAGTCTTGCTTTAGCCATGAAAGCCAGCAGGAACAAATGTAAGATCCTACATCTTAAAAGAAAAAAAAGAAAGTCTCAGTATAGTTTAGCGAGACTTGACTTGGCAGTAATAGAGGGAACTACCGGGTATTTTGTTAGATTGTAAATTGAACATAAGACAGTTTAATAAGTAAATGCAACTTTTTAAAGTTAAAAACACTTAACAAAACTCTGGTGTTTAGTTATAGGTTTGGTGGACAAAGTGGTTTGGTAATGAGATTTCTGAAATAATTCTTAGTTGTTGGTTGTAAACTTAAAGTAAATAATTGTTCCACCCCATCCTGCTTTATTCAACCCCATCTCAAATGTTCTGTTCACTTTTGGGCATCCGTTTAGAAAAAATGAGAAGAGGTGCAGAATAAAATGGTAAGGTCAATCAGGAGACCAGAAAGGAAGATCCTATGAAGAGAAAGGAATTCTATGACGATCCTAATGTCAAGATCTGCTCTCCTTTATTGTAGAGTGCAGGACATGGAATAGTGGATTTACGTTATGGGAAGTCCATTTTCAATTTAATTTTAGCAAATGGTTGATAACAGAAAGAACCTGATGAGGAACCAATTATCCAGTGAAGTGGCAGGTTCAATGGATTCAGTCAGATGCTAGAGAGATGTCCACTTGGAATGCTATAATGTGAATTGCTATACCAATCAGGGAACTGGCATAATTCTATACATCATCAGAGTGAGGAAGAGACAAATGATAGCTCACGTACTCTGCAAATCATACAGTTTACATTCTTGTGCCAGGTGTTATGTCCCAAATACATCATCTCATTTGTGCAATGATATTGATGCACATCTAATTTTGATATCATCATAGCTTTCTCAGTCTTGGAGAGGAGTGCATTTTCCATTAATTTAGAAAAGGACCTAAGCATTGTTTCCTTCATTGTGGATGTTTTGAAATATGTAGAATATATACAAATGTACTATAATAAGAAACAGAATGTTTGAAA